CATGGGAGAAGAGAACAGGCTAAAAGACATGATAGAGGTGATGGATTGTTGAATCGGCCTACGTCTTGTTGTTGACGGTTATTATAAAGGAGGAGAAAACACGGTTAATGGTCAAGTGCTGGACTCCCAACTGAATGATGGGAAATTCAAACCCACCCAGAGGCAACTCAGAAGACAGGTCTGGCAATCTACTTCCGGTAGGTCACAGCCTTGGAAACTCAATGGAGCCGTTCTACTCTGCACACATGGGGTCACCAGGAGTGGGCATGGACTCGACAGCGACTCATAACAATTCCATTGGACGGTAAAAAATTGGCAATTCTTTCTCAATACCCAATTAAACAAAATTTTTCTTGTTTGTCAACTCCGAAGACGTAAGAACCATTGTCTTCAGAAACAAGAAGAATCACTTAGATTGTGCAGCTTGTGTAACAACAACAACAATCATAGCAGCTCCATGAAGTATCTGTTTATGGCAGACTAGTTAGAACCATTGGATCTTTGGGTTGTGCAAACACTTAACACACTCGGCACTTAAACAAAATGTTAGAGGTTTGAATCCATTCAGAGGTACCGTGGAAGAAAAGCCTGGCAATCTACATCCACAAAATCAGTCATCAGCAATCCTATAGAGCACAGTTTTGCCCTGACATGCCATGAGTCAGGGTTGGCTTTACTATGTGGCAAGAAATTGAGCTAGGTCATTATACACACAATCTCATTTAATCCTCACCCAAACTCTCTGAGGGATGCATTATTACTATCCCCATTTACAGATGGGGAAATCGAGGGCTTGAGACTTGAGTCATTTGCCTATGGTTACACAGCTACATCTGTCTTGAAAGAAACACAGCCAGAATGTCCTGAGAAGCCAGGATGGTGAGACTTTCCTAAGCCGTACGTTGAATGTGTTATCAAGAGGGACCGGTCCCTGGATAAGGACATCATGCTTGGTAAAGTGGGGGGTCAGAGAAAAAGAGGAAGACCCTCAATGAGATGGAATGACACAGTGGCAGCAGCAATGGGCTCACATATCACAATTGTGAGGAGGGCTCAGGACCAGACAGAGTTCCGTTCTGTTGTGCAGAGGGATAGGGTCATTATGAGTCAAAACTGACTCGATGGCATCTAACAACAACAACAACAACACACAGCTACAGTAGTCCACCTGGCAGGTTCAAGTTCTTCACCACCACAACGTTCATGGTTTTCGCGAGGGCTCTTCGGGGTGTCTGTATGTAT